CGCCCGCCACCACGCCCGGCTAATTTTTTTTGTATTTTTAATAGAGACGGGGTTTCACCGTGTTAGCCAGGATGGTCTCGATCTTCTGACCTCGTGATCCGCCTGCCTCGGCCTCCCAAAGTGCTGGGATTACAGGCTTGAGCCACCACACCTGGCCGATTTCATGTTTAAACAGTTGTCAAGTTCCTTTACATATTTCAGTCTCATTTTCCTCATCTGTCCAAAATGTACCTGTGTTACAGGGTAGTTGGGAGGTTTCAACAAAATAATGTATGTAAAATACCTAGCTGGGTGTTTATGCCTAGGAAGTTCTCAGGAAATGTGAGCTATTATCATTTATTTCAGGCCTACTTTGTGCCTGGCATCTCAGGGGAGGAAGGCACAAAAGTGAAAACAAAGCCTGGGTCCTGCCCCCAAGGAGTTTGAAGCTTTGTTGATAGGTAGACTAGAGTAAAAGGGTCTTACGCACTGGAGATCGGATCAGAGACATAAGAACAACTGCCAATTCTTTTTTATTATTATTATTATTATTATTTTGAGACGGAGTCTGGCTCTGTCGCCCAGGCTGGAGTGCAGTGGCGCGATCTGGGCTCACTGCAAGCTCCGCCTCCCGGGTTTACGCCAGTCTCCTGCCTCAGCCTCCCGAGTAGCTGGGACTGTAGGTGCCTGCTACCTTGCCCGGCTAGTTTTTCATATTTTTTAGTAGAGACAGGATTTCACCGTGGTAGCCAGGATGGTCTCGATCTCCTGACCTCGTGATCCGCCCATCTTGGCCTCCCAAAGTGCTGGGATTACAGGCTTGAGCCACCGCGCCCAGCCCAACTGCCAATTCTTGAGGCTCCTAATGAACCAGGTTCTGTGCTGAAAGCTTTATATGCATTATCTCATGAAATTTCCTCACAATCCTATGAGGTAAGTGCTATTAGGATTAGAAAATCAAAGATCAAAGATCAGAGAATCTTTTAGGAAATTTGCGTGGGTCACATAGCTAATAGTGTCAGGGCCTGGGTTTGAACCCAGGGGTGTCTGACTTCAGATTCTTTACTCCTTCTACTCCATTTGAGTTGGACCTTGAAGGATGAGTCAGATTTGGGCACATGGGGATGGAGGAGAGGAGGGGCCTGGAGAATAGGAGGATATGGAGCCAGGTAAGCAAAGCCTGGGAGATGGGAAAGTGTAGGGCATGTATGACAGAAACTCTGAGGTTCTTTTTTTTTGAGACAGGGTCTCGCTCTGTGACCCAGGCTGGAGTACCGTGGCATGATCTTGGCTCAGTGTAACCTCCGCCTCCTGGGTTCCAGCGATTCTTCTGCCTCAGCCTCCCGAGTAGCTGGGATTACAAGCATGCACCACCATGCCTGGCTAATTTTTTTTTTTCTTTGTATTTTTAGTAGAGATGGATTTTTGCCATGTTGACCAGGCTGATCTCGAGCTCCTGGCCTCAAGTGATCCACCCACCTCGGCCTCCCAAAGTGCTGGGATTACAGGCATAAGCCACCGCGCCCGGCCTGTTCATTTATTTTGAGACAGTCTTACCGTGTCGCCCAGGCTGGAATGCAGTGATATGATCATGACTCACTGCAGCCTTGACCTCCCTGGGTTCAGGTGATCCTCCCACCTCAGCCTCCTGAGCAGCTGGGATTACAGGTGTGTGCCACCACTCCCAGCTAATTTTTCTATATTTTGGAGAGACAGAGCTTTTACCATGTTGCCCAGGCTGGTCTTGAACTCCTGGGCTCAAGAGATCTGTCCACCTTGGCCTCCCAAAGTGCTGGGTTTACAGGCATGAACCACTGTGCCCGGCCTGAAACTGCAAGTATTTAGTCTGGTTCCATGTGAGGGCCTCTTTTGGTCCATTTCACAGAAATCTTAGCCAAAATATATTAAGTACCTACCATGCATCTGACATTTCTCTAAGGACTTTATAACCAACACCTTACTAAATCCTCACAGTAAGTGGAGAGGTCACTTGTGCACCCCCATTTCAAAGATGAGGAAATTGAGGCTCAGAATGGTCCACTGACCTGACCATGATCACAATGCTAGGAATGAATGGGGCAGGAATTCAAGCTCAGGGAGGCAGATTTCAGATCTGTGCCCCACACCTCTTGCGAGAATTAGTCAGTTCCCAGGCAGTGAAACTCTAAAGCCAGCCCCAGCTGCCCGAAACTCAACCACAGAGAGCTGGCTCTCAGCCCCTCACTGGCTTCCAGCCCCTCACTGGCTCCCTTCTTTTCTCCCAGCTCCACCCTGCCACCCCCATTTCCCTCCCTGGCCCTGGGGCCCTGCTCCTTCCCCAAACCTGCTCCACCACAATTCCTTCCAGGTTCCCTCATCTGTAAAATGGGGATAATAATAGTGTCTGCCTCAGGGTAGTGTTGTGAGGATCAGAGGAGGGGCTCAAGGTGCTTAGAACCCAGCGTATAGTAGGTTCTCAATAAAAATCAGTGACCTCACCACCACTGTCATTTAAGTAGTGTCTCTGAAGTCCTCTGAAACTGACTGACTGATAGCATTATCCACATTTGATGGTTGGGGAAATTGTGGTTAAGAGAAGTGAAGCAGCAGCTGTCCAGTGTCACTTAGCTAGGAAGTAGAGAGCGGGACTTAATCGGGGCTTCCTGATTTTCTGACTTCAGATCTCATTAACTTCTCTTATTCTTTGCAGCCAGGCAGATGAGTGAATCATAATCAGTATTTATTACCTGCCTTCTGCACTCCAGCCAGGCCCTAGATGCTAAGGGGCATTCTAGAGAGATCTGACCTAGATTCTTGAAGGAGCATAGAACCTAACTGATAAACAAGGTATGAAAACAAAGCCTCGTTTTGTTGAGGTAGAACACACAAAGCGTCCCAAGAGGGCAAGAATCATTTGACTGAGAGGAAGCAGGCAGGGGAGGCTTCTTGAAGGAGGTGAAGTTTAAGCTGGGCCGCAAAGGACCAATGAGATACGTAGACTAGAGTAAAAGGGTCTTATGCACTGGAGATAAGTTCAGAGATGTGACCGGGCGTGGTGACTCACACCTGTAATCCCAGCACTTTGGGAGGCCAAGTAGGGTGGATCGCCTGAGGTCAGGAGTTCGAGATCAGCTTGGCCAACATGGTGAAACCCCGTCTCTACGGAAAATACAAAAACCAGCCAGGCATGGTGGCTGGTGCCTGTAATCCCAGCTACTTGGGAGGCTGAGGCAGGAGACTCACTTGAACCTGAGGCAGGAGAATTGCACCGCTGCATTCCAACCTGGTGACAGAGTGAGACTCTGTCTAAAAAAAAAAAAAAAAAAGGCAGAGATATAACAACATCTGCCAATTCTTGAGCCTCCTTATGATCCAGGTTCTGTGCTGAAAGCTTTGTATGCATTATCTCAGGAGATTTCCTCATGATCCTATGAGGTAAGTGCTATTAGGATGAGAAAATCAAGGATCAAGGATCAGAGAATTTACAAAATTTGCCTAGGTCACACAATGAATAAAGTGTCTGGGCCTGGGTTTGAACTCAGGGCTGTTGGCCACACAGCCTGGGCTCTTAATCATCATGGGTTATTGCCACCTTGTCCTCAACCATCTAATGAGGAATTAAGCTGTGGACTGTCTCTGGAGGGCTTTGAATGCCAAGGCTCAGACTTACATAAAAATCACACAGCACCAGGCAAGAATCAGACCTGGAATGTAGCAGCAGCTTCTAGCAGCTTTACCACTCACTACCAAAGGTTGCTTCTCTGAGCCTCTCTAAACTGGAGTGATGAGGAATATATTATCAGCAATGAAGATTTTTGAACGAGGCAGGGAGGCTCTTGTGACAAAAGGATTGTTTAAAAGAAACCTGGAGATGTTCAAACATTTACTGAGTGTTGGGTCCTAAGAATACAACTGTGAATAAGACAAAGCTCTGCAGTGGGCCTCTGACCCTGCTGTGCCGGCAGGCAGCTTGGGAGGGTAGGAGAAGAACCCCTTAACTGGAAAAACAAGGGCTCCAGAGCTGGGACCTGTCCCAGATTCCATTGCCAGCTCTCAAATCAGGGAATCTCTCTGTATGACCTTGGGCAAGTTACCCAGCCTTTCAGACTGTCAGTCTTTATCATGGGGATCATCATTCCTCTTCCCAGGATTGTTGGAATAAATTAACTAAAACAACCCTTGTAAGGATCTAGCATGGTGCTTGGCATCCTGCAGGCGCTGAATAGATGTTCGTTTTCCCTGTAAAGAAGTAGACTAGTTTGCCTCCATCCCTCACCCCTCTGCCATTAAAGGGAACAAGTTCCTGGCCTTCATTTTAGCAGGAAAGGGGATATGAATGCACATGTGCTAGCTAAGCAACAATGCAAACTAACAAAAGGGCCTGTGGCCTGGGGAATACACTGCTGAGTCTGGGCTCAGGTCGGGACCCGGCGCCAAAATGTTTCCCTTCAACCCCAGGGAATCCGGGCCCATTTCTCGGGGCGCTGTGCTCTGTTCTGGCCGCCTCCGCACTGTGCATCCCAGAACCACCCTGTCTGCGTCTCGCCGGCTGCTAGCTAGCGCGTCCAGCGGCGGGCGGCACCGACAGCAGGTGTGGCTGCCCCTTTAAGCAGCGAAGCTCGTGTTGCAATCGCCGCCTCGAGGACTGGTTCTTTCCGGGGGGTGGAGCCTGTACTCTTGCAGCAGCCAACCGGAGCGCGGCATTTTCCGCGGGAGATCCGAATTTCGCGGCACGCCGTTTGGCGCTAAAAAAAAAAAAAAAAAAAAAAAAAAAAAGAAAAAAAAAGAGGCAGAGAAAAACTCAGGGACTAGAGAGCCGGCCGCAAGGAAGTCGGTGCAGTCGAGACCCCCTTCCCCGTCCCAGCGCATCGCGTCTCCACCGAGCTCGCGGGCACGCCGGGGACTCCTCCCCAGAGCCGGCCGGACCCCAGGTGCCGAGGCCTTGGGGGGCGCGGGGCGTCCCGGGTCGCGGTGCCCTCGGGGCGGGACAGCCCCTGGCAGTGCCACCACCGCAACCGCCGGTCGATCTCCAAGCGGCGATCTCCAAGCGCTGCTCTGCTCGGCTGCGGGCCAGGAGGGGAGGGTCCGGCCTTGCCCCGCAGACGTCCATTGGTGGCTTCCCCCGGCCTCCGCGCCATGCCGCGGGCCGTGTGAGCGGCTGCAGCACCGGAACCCGCAGGTGTCCGCGGGCGCGCCAGGCCCGTTTGGGTAGGGGGCGCCTTACTCGCTATGCTGCAAGGGCCCCGGGCCTTGGTTTCGGCCGCTGGGCAGCCCCCGAAGGTGGTGCCCGCGATGAGCCCCACAGAGCTGTGGCCATCCGGCCTCAGCAGCCCCCAGCTCTGCCCAGCTACTACCACCTACTACACGCCGCTGTACCCGCAGACGGCGCCTCCCGCAGTGGCGCCCGGCACCTGCCTCGACGCCACTCCCCACGGACCTGAGGGCCAAGTTGTTCGATGCCTGCCGGCAGGCCGGCTGCCGGTAATGCTGGGGCCCCCACCGCTTCCCCCTATGCTTTTCCAGGTGTGGGGAAGGAGGGAGGGGTGCCTGAGATCCAGTTTGAGTGGAGCAGGTAGAGTTTTGGGAAGAGGGAAGATGAGCTTTCAGTTTCCAGGACCCAGTGCCCCCAATATCTGAGTAGAAGACCCCTTCATTTTCAGACTTTGGATGAAGTAATCTCATCCATTCTAGTGGAGTGGAATGAGCACTGGATTGCGAGTCTGGAGGGAGACCCAACCCACTACTCCCAGTGCACTGTGTGACCTTGGGGAAGCCCATGCAGCCAAAGTTGCCGCCATTCATTCATTACTTCATTGTTTGGCCAGAAACCAGCACTGGGTGCCTGCTATTGTCCAGGCAAAGAGCATGCCTGGGGACACTGTGGGACTTTGGTAAGACAGAGGGATAGGTCTAGTGAGTCTCTCAGGTTCAATCTGCCATGGACAGACTCCAAATTGTCCAGCCAACTCCTGGTATAGCCCCAAGTATCTGCCCTTGGTCCTCCCCAAGGCCCAGTCTTCCCTCCCAGGCAGCCTGTAGCAGATAGAAATGTGGGCAGCCCCCTGGGTTCTGTTCAGATTGGCTGCTCTCTCCTTAAGCTCCCAGGCTCGTTGCCAGAGATGGCCCAAAGTGTAGTGGCACCAGGCTGCCTGCCGACCTGGGCTCAGGGTGTGTTTTGTGGGAGTGGAATTCCTGGAGCCCATGTGAATCAAAACAACTTTAGGGTGGGGGGTGGAATGGGAAAAGCCCGAGGAAGTGGGGATGGTGGTGGTTGAGGAGCCTGGTTTCTGGTGTGACTCTGCCATTAATTCTCTGTGTGTCCTTGGACAAGTCTTGGCCCCAGTCTGGGCCTCAGTGTCCTCTCCTTGACAATGCGTGTGTGCACAGGGTGGCTGTGGGGCTAGCTCTTCTCTGCCACATTCGACTCCAGGTCCTGGGTTTTGGAAGCCGGCTCCAGGGAGAGGATTGGGGTGTTATAGGTTTGCTTAGTTGTGGGTGTGGTGAATAAGTTCAGGTACAGGGATAAGACCACCCCCCACTGCCCCAGAGGCATCTGGTCAGACCTGTGCTGGTCAGCAGGCACGGATGCCCAGCCAGCTCTGGATGCAGGCAGAGCCACCACTCCCTGCCAGTGGACTCAGGCTTTGCCCATGTTCAAAACGTTAACCTTCCCGGAGACCCTTCCTGCACATGATTTCTAACTAGGAGGGCAGTGGGCAGGAATGGTATTGTCCCCATATTACAGGTTAAGCAACCGAGGATAACTGGGATTGGTGATCTTGTGGTCAGCGTTTTATAGCCCAAAACATCTTTGTAGATTGTGAAATAGATGGCATTAGTAGCTCCATGTTACAGGGGGAAATAGGCTCAGAGAGGGGATGTGACCTAAGGTCAGAGATGGGGATGGGGTAGAGTGATGGGACTCACAAGGCAGTAGGCTCTTCTCTGTTTTATTTTTTGCAGAGACAGGGGTCTCCCTGTGTTCCCCAGGCTGGTCTCAAACTCTTGGGCTCAAGCGATCCTCTTGCCTCGGCCTCCCAAAGTGCTGGGATTACAGGCATGAGCTACTGCACCTGGTCAGGCAGTAGGCTCTTCTCTATGTAGCCTTGACTTTCTTTAATACTGCCTGACTTAGGAGCTGAGTACCCCCCCGGGAAGGGAACTTTGCAGCAGGCCCACTCTCCTCTGGCCAGCTGCTTTCACACTGGAATTTTCAGTAACAGCTGTGGTTTTACACTGCTTTGAACCCTCTCAGAGGAGCCCAAGTGCATCTTGTCTGTACCTCCCTCCCAGAGGGGCTCAGTGATCTTAGCAAGAAGGTCTCTTTTTTACTGAGTGCCTCTCGTGTGCCAGACACTGCTTGGCACTCTTCACGTTCATTATCTTGGTCAAGATGTTCAGAATGAGGCATTTTGCAGATAAGGAAACTGAGCAAAGAAAGGAAGTCACTTGCCTGGGTCACAAGCAAAGAAGCAGGAGAGTCTCCTTGCAGCAGACCACCCTAAAGGCCTGCCAGGCCCAGAGCTCCCACTCCTGTCAATCCCCAGATGCCCGGGGCCCAGCCCCGTGGGTAGGCCTGCCCTCTGCTTACTCATTTTACAAGGGTGTGACCTGGAGCAGCTCCAAACCCAACCCTGGGTGTGGCCACTTGCTTTGTGGCCAGGCTGCAAAGTGCAGGGTGAGCAGGATTTGTTGGGGAGCTTCTGTTTAAAGCGACCTCAGGCACTGTCCAAAGATGGCAACCAAGTTCAGTGGCAGAATGAAGGCCAGAACCCAGATCTCCTGGCTCCCTGTCCAGAGCTCTTTCCAAGTCCTCTGAGGAAAGCTCAGGGAATGCTCCTTTATCGCATGCCTCCTCTGGCCAGGCGCATGGCATCATTCTCTTTCATCCCTGCAGGAAGCTCTGCCCAGGCTGGAGTATAGTAGTATCATCTCGGCTCACTGCAGACTCCGCCTCCCAGGTTCAAGTGATTCTCCTGCCTCAGCCTCCTAAGTAGTTGGGATTACGGGTGCCTGCCACCATGCAGGGTTATTTTTTGTATTTTTAGTAGAGATGGGGTTTCACCATGTTGGCCGGACTAGTCACGAACTCCTGACCTCAGGTGATCCGCCTGCCTTGGCCTTCCAAAGTGCTGGGATTACAGGCGTGAACAGAAAATTTGTCTGCATTTTCCAAATTTCCTCTTGTGAGGCAGAAAGAACACAAAAATTTTAACACACAACTCTATAAGCCAGGTCAGGTGAGGAGATGTAGGCTCAGAGAGGCAGACAGTGAATCCCAGGCTGCCCAGCTACCAAGTGGCAGAGCTGGGATTTGAAAGCAAGATTCGACCCCTTACATTTGCTCCTACCCCCACCATCTAACTTAGGGCTTAGGAGAGACCAGGCTCCACTCTGTGTGACCTTGGGCAAGTCACTTCCTCTTCCCCAAGTCCCAGTTTCCTCACCTTGGTGCCCGTAAGGGGGTTGTGCCTGGGATCTCTGACCCTCTGCACTTCTGCAGCTGCCTGAGTAAGGAGCTGTACTCTTCTCCATAGGGGTTGGCAGGGTGGGCTTGAGTCCTGACCGGGCCTTGAAGATCCAGCCAAAGGGGCTACCTAAGAGCGTCCAGGATAGAGCTAAGCCGGTCTCTGGCTGTGGCCATAGCCTTTGCTCTCCTCCTCCCACCGCAGTCTCTTTTCAGCTCACCCTTGAACTTTCCCCTTTTCCCACTGGTGCTCCCCATATGTCAGTGCTAGTAGCCCCCCGATGGGAACACTCCCTGTGGGCAAAGCGCTTTGCTGCACTATCTCGCTGAATCCTCAGCATAGGTGGAGACAATGATGCCCATTTTATAGGTGACTCGAGGTCAACTGATTTCCCAGCTAAGAAGGGGAAGGCCTAGATGCAAACCCAGGCCGGTCTGACTCCAAGACCTGTGCTCAGCCTCACCTTGATCCTGATCCTCCTGGGCTTGTCCTCTGCTACCTGTGTTCTGCAGGTTCAGCCCAAGCCATAGGCTGACTTTACTCTGGGCACTGCCCAAAGGTGTCAGGGAGGTATCCTTAGGGGGACACTTTGCTGCACTGGGACCCTGGGAGTGCAGACTAAGGGTAAAGGAGGGTGAGAAAAGAGAGACGGCTGTGTGTGTGTGTGTGTGTGCACGTGCATGCAGTGATGGAGACAGGTGGGCATAGCCCAGGCCTTGGCCCAAATTCTAACAAATCCTGGGGCAGCGTGTGTGGGATGGAGCTGAGGCAACCTGGTACATGGCTTTGGAGTCAGGCCTGGGTTCAGACCCTGGCTCTGGCCTTTGTGTGACCTTGGACATGTGCCTACTCTCTGTAAGTCTCCATTTCTTGTCTTACAAGAGCCAGTGCCAATACTGATGCGGTAGGACTGTTATGAGCATGTAATAGGCCCAGCATAGATATTCTGTGCAAGGTCTTCCCGGGGTTCTTCCTGGTGTGTTCTGTGCGGGGAGGCAGGTGTGGCTGGGGAGGCTCTGGGCTGCCCCACGTCTGCATCAAGTAGAACTCCACCTGAGCGTCCCTTCTCCCTGCCCTTGGTGCTCCTGCCGGGGGATATATGAAGAATACTGGGATGCGCAGCCTTGGTCAGGATTGTTGGAGGACTCAGAGCTCCCCAAGCCTCAATTACTCCAGCTGTACAATGGGGATTAGTGCTGTGGGAAGATTCAGGGAAGTGATAAATGTTGGGGCGTGGTGCAGGGCATGTGGAAGGTCTCTGCCAGTGCCTGGCCCTTTCTCTACTGACAGGGTGGGGCTAAATCCCTAGAATATAGATTTTTACCATTTAGGAAGGTAGAAAAGGAATATTCAAGAGACTCATTCAAGAATGAGCAGTAAAGTGTTTGGATGGTTTCCAGGTCTGGGTAGTGGTGGAGAGCAGGAGTGTCATATCCAGCCTCCTCAAATCAGCCCAGGAAGACTTCCTGGACGGGGAAGGAGTGGGGGCAGGGGAACTGACAGCAGGAAGAGCTGTCACCACCCCCAACACCTGTCAGCCCAGCTGTGCTCAGCAGCAGTTAGAAGTCTCAGCCCTGCTGAGCATGACCTCAACACCAAATGTTAAAATAGGCTTCTCTGTCCAAGCCGGGGTAGGGGTGTCTGGGGGATCCAGAGTTGGAAGGAGGAAAGAAATGGGCTTGATGACCACCAGAAGGATGTATCAAGGAAGAGGTCGAGATTAGATTTTAAGGAAGGGACTCTGCATTTCCTGAACACCTACTGTGTGCTGAGACACAGGCTGAGAACTTTACAGAAGTTAAAGGAGCAGGAGCTACCCAGGGTCTTTCTTCAGCATGCAGACAGGGAGCTAAATAAGTGCTTCAAAGGGAAGCGATGTGGGGATTAATTCAGCCTGTTCCAGGGTTTTTAAGATCCAGAGGCTGCCCAGGTGGTGCCTTCCTTGATTCCTTACAATAGCCCCTTGAGGTAGGCATTTTCTACCCCATTTACAGAGGAAGAAACTGAGGCTCCTAGATATGGAGCTCGTACAGTGAGCCTGCAAAGGAGCTGGAGATTCAAGCATGGGTCTCTGACCTATGTCCCAGTGTCCCAGTGCCCCAGCCCTGCCCCTGCCCTGCCCCTGCCCAGCCCTAACCAGGAGAGAGGCCCTTTCCGGGCCAGTGCAGCTCTGGGCCTAATTGGGGCCCTGGTGGCGACAGGGTGGAGAGGAGCAGATGGGTCTGTGGTTTGATTTCCCCGGCAGGTGTTTCCCAAGCTTGGCGGGAACAGAGAGGGGGAGCGGGAGGGGGGTGGCCTCAGCTGCTTGTCCTTAGACACGGGAAGGATTCATTGTCTGCGGGAAGGATTCATTGTCTGCCCCTCTCGGCAAAGAAAGAATGGCAAATGCAGTCTATTCAGGAGGCCCTGGGGCCCTCAAGCTGGAGCCCAAACATGGGGGTGGGGATGTTTGTACTGCTTTCCACTGTGGGCACCTCCCTGGGGTGTGGCACTGAGCCAGGAAGTCCACTGGGTCTGGGCGGATGCCCAGCCCCACCCTGATAAGGACCAGCTGTGGGACTGTGATGGGCACTCAGTCTGGCTGGGCCAGCTGCTTCTGTAGGGGGCCCTTTCCCCACCCTGATGTGGTTTAGGCCCTACCCACTGCTTCCTCCTGGTATCATCCTCTGGGTGTGGTGGGGTGAGAAGCGGGTGTAGGAGCGGGCTTGAGGCCTGTGGTTAAGGAACCCTGAGCCCCTGGCCAGACTGGCTTTGGTAGGGTCTCAAGTGCCTGGGCCTCAGAGGATGGGAATTTTATTTGCTCTTCAGGAAACAAGACTTCCCCTGAAAGCTCACTTCCTCAGGTCATTGATATTTTCCTATCAAGTACAGCAGGGCTTCACCAGGACTGGCGGTAAACTGAGGCACAGAGGTGGCTGCTAAGTGACCTTATCACTTTGGCCCCATATCAGGGAAAGGCTAAAGGAGGAATGATTCTCAAATTCTGCCTCTCTCTTCCCCTTCTCTCCAAGGCCAAAAGGAAGCTGGATCTGGAGGGGATTGGGAGGCCCGCCGTCCCTGAGTTCCCAACCCCCAAGGGGAAGTGCATCAGAGTGGATGGCCTCCCCAGCCCCAAAAGTAAGCAGTGCTGATGGGGCCTCTGGGGTGGGGTGGGGCAGGGACAGAGGGCAGTGCCCTGCCCAATCACTGGGAGTCATATTTGGATCACTTTCCAGTTTGCAAAAGCTTCCTGTGCATTTTATCAAAAGCTTCCTGTGCATTTTATCACTTGATCCTGCCGGATAGGTAGGCTTGTCTCTCTTTACTAATCAGGCAACTTGAGACTCTGAGAGCTTGAGTGACTTGCCCATAGTCTCGGAGTGGAGTCAGGACTAGAGCCTGGACATGTAAGTCTTGCACTACTTCTACGTTTTTTGCTTTTTGTTTTTTGTTGTTGTTTTGAGACAGGTCTCGCTCTGTCACCAAGCGTGGATTGCAGTGGTGCCATCTTGGCTCCCTGCAACCTCCACCTCTGGGGTTCAAGCAACTCTCTCACCTCAGCCTCCCAAGTAGCTGGAACTACAGGTGCATGCCATCATCCCTGACTAATTTTTGTATTTTTAATAGAGACACAGTTTCCCCATATTGGCCAGGCTGGTCTCGAACTCCTGACCTCAAGTGATCCACCTGCCTCGGCCTCCCAAAGTGCTGGGACTACAGGCGTGAGCCACCGTACCCGGCCAGTCTCGCACTACTTCTACCATGCCATGTACTGCTCTCATGATCTAAATGCAGTGACCAGTGTTTTACTTGGGAATTTATTATTTTTAAAAAGTTTTAATGTTTAGGTCAATGTCAATTTTTCTCAATCAGAGGAGCAGGGGCTAACTGGGGTCTTTCTCCCATATGCAGACAAGGAGCTGAACAAGTGATTCAAAGGGAAGGGAAGCACAGATTAATCCAGTCTCTGCCACCCCAGAGGTTTTTAAGATCCAGAGGCTGCCCAGGTGTGCCTTCCTAAAGCTAAGTTGGAGGGGGTTGCTGCCTCTTGATATTTTCAGTCAATATCCTGTATGGGCCGGGCGCGGCGGCTCACACCTATAATCCTAGCACTTTGGGAGGCCAAGGCGGGCAGATCACCTGTGGTCAGGAGTTCCAGACCAGCCTGGCCAACGTGGTGAAACCCCATCTCTACTGAAAATACAGACATTAGCTGGGCGTGGTGGTGCATAATCCCAGCTACTCGGGAGGCCGAGGCAGGAGAATCGCTTGAACCTGGGAGGCAGGTTGCAGTGAGCTGAGATCATGCCACTGCACTTCAGCCTGGATGACACAGCGAGACTCCATCTCAAAAAAAAAAAAAAAAATTCCAGGTTAGAGCAGGAGTTTAAGCAACTGTGTTTGGAAGGAACACTAGTTTTGGGGGTCCAGGAAGGCCTATGCCCCGACCTGACAGTTCACTCCTGTGAACCTTAGTTGTCTCGTGTGAAAGGAGGCACAGCTAGATCAGGAATGGCAAGAAAGTTTCCTCTACATTTGATTGGTCAAAGCTGCCCAAAGCACTGTCTTAAAGGATTCTAAGGCTCATGATAACTGGTCCTCTTCCAGAGGAACCTAAGACTCTAAAACTCAGGCTCCAGAATTATTAGATTGGCCACTAACTTGCCATATGACTTGGAAGTCACTCGATTACGGAAGTCTCCTTGTGGTTTAAGATGCTGCAGCTGAGATGTGGTCTTGCAACATCAACCTCATTTGAGAAAGGGACCTTTTTCATGAACCTCCCCCACTTTATGTTACAGGACCGATTTTTTTCAGATCACTGTGATTCACATGGGAAGAAAAAGCAAGTGTGTATCTATAAAAATGCTCTTAAATCCAGGCTTATCATTTCTACCCTATTCTAATTCCAAACTCCGGACATTTAGGTGGCAGGATAGGGTAATGCTTAAGAAGGAAAACTCCGGGCCGGGTGCAGTGGCTCACGCCTGTAATCCCAGCACTTTGTGAGGCCGAGCCGGGCACGATGACGGGCACCTGTAGTCCCAACTACTCGGGAGGCTGAGGCAGGAGAATGGCGTGAACCCGGGAGGCGGAGCTTGCAGTGAGCCGAGATTGCATCACTGCACTCCAGACTGGGGAACAGAGCGAGACTCCGTCTCAAAAAAAAAAGGAAGGAAAACTCTGGAGCCAGACTGCCTGGATTTGAATTCCAGCTTTGCCACTTTCTAGCTGAGTGAGCTAAGCAAATTACTTAAACTGTGCCTCAGTATTCTCATCTATAAAATGGGGATGACCGTACAGCAACCTTACAGGGTGTTGTAGGACTTAAATGTGTTCGTATATGGAAAGCACTTAGAACAGTGACAGTAGTTGTGGATGGTGGTATGGCAGCCCTAAGCTGTGGTGGAAATGTGCATTTAACCAGGAGTCAGGACACTTGGCTTCCAATACTGCCCACTGGCTGTGAGACCTTAAGCAAGTCACCTTCCCTCTCAGGTATCAGGTTTCCTGTCTGGACAGTGGTGGTGATGGATGCCCTTGCTCACAGTGCTTTGTAGACTGGAAGGTGGTGAAAAGTTGGTACTTAATGAGCCTAGATCAATGGACGAGGGTCCTGCGTGGGCCCTCCCTGAGCTGTGACTGGGTCCCCTTCTTCCTCAGCCCCCAAATCCCCCGGGGAGAAGACTCGGTATGACACCTCGCTGGGGCTGCTCACCAAGAAGTTCATTTACCTCCTGAGCGAGTCAGAGGATGGGGTCCTGGACCTGAACTGGGCCGCTGAGGTGCTGGACGTGCAGAAGCGGCGCATCTATGACATCACCAACGTGCTGGAGGGCATCCAGCTCATCCGCAAGAAGGCCAAGAACAACATCCAGTGGGTGTGAGTGCCTGGGCGGCCAGTGGTACCCTCCAATGGGTACTTGCGCTGTGGGCGGAGCCAGAGGCAATAGCCAGTGGCTGTGAGTGGCAGGGGCAGGGCTGAGAGCAACATCCAATGGGCACAAGGGCTGAGGCGGACCAAGAGCAACATCCAATAGGCTTATTGCTGGGGGTAGAGCCAATGTATGGTGAGGAAGAGCGCCGTGTACCTGCTGAAGTAATAGGAGAACGTGATGCGGGGCAGAGTGACGAATGACATCTGGGAGGTGTAAAGGCCAAAGGGGACCCCAGATTCTTCCTCTCGAGTCAGAGATCCTAATATCCACTCCTTCTAGCTTAGGGCAGTCCCCTGGGAGCTAAGTAGGGGGATCCCGGACCTCTTCCAGATCTGAGATAGGAGTACTCCAGCCTCCTCTCTCCATTTCTACAGGATTTAAAGAACTGACCTACGGCCCTTGGCATAGGTGGCCTAAGAGAACCTAAGAGTTCAACCTAAGAGGTGGCCTACAGCCCTGGCCCAAGAGAAGCCAGAGTGGGGAGTCAGGACTGAGGCTACTCCAGTTGGAGGAGGCTGGGGGATAGGGATGAACAGAATCGAGAGCCCCCCAGAAGTGGGGTTCAGGCCCACTTGTTTCTTCTCCCAAGCCCAACCCCCAAACCTCTCGTTCCAATCCCTGGTAGCTCCCTGAGAGCCAGGCATGACCACTGATTTACACAACCCAGGGGCGCACTCTCATAGACTATTTTTTGAATGGCCTTGTTCTGGAGTTTCACCCACAGACTGACACTGGGGGGCTACTCTGTTCCCAGAGGCAGGGGAATGTTTGAAGACCCCACCCGGCCTGGGAAGCAGCAACAGCTGGGGCAGGAGCTGAAGGAGCTGATGAACATCGAGGAGGCCTTGGACCAGCTCATCCAGAGCTGCTCTCTGAGCTTCAAGCACCTGACTGAGGACAAGGCCAACAAGAGATATCCTCTTTCGTTGGGGGAAGGTGTCAGGGAGCAGGAACCTGTTGCATGTTTATATCTATCCTGAGTTGATTCAGTAACTTACCCTAAGGGTCTGGCATCTGTTTCTTCCTTCCTGGGTGGCCTTTCTTCTCAAGTCTATTTTTTGAATTATTTATTTATTTTTTTTTAGAGACAAGGGCTCATTCTGTCATCCAGGCTATAGTACATTGGCATGATCATAGCTCACTACAGCCTCACACTCCTGGGTTCAAGTGATCCTCCCACCGCAGCCTCCCGAATAGCTGGAACTACTGGCATGTGCCACCATGCCTGGCTAATTTTTTATTTTTTGTATAGACAGGGTCTCACTTTGTTGCCCAGGCTGGTCTCTAACTCTTGGCTTCAATCGATCCTCCCACTTCAGTCTCCTGTCTCCCAAAGTGCTGAGATTACAGGCATGAGTCACTGTGCCTGGTCTCAAGTTTATTAAAGGTATTTTTTCGTTATTGAAAATAAGCCAAGTACATTTGCCTTTAAATCTGGAAAATGGAGAAAAAGAATGACAAACTGCCACCTTAACATAGCCATTGTTCCAGAACTGCACACAGAATGTGTGTTATTTAAATATAGTTGTAATATAGTTGTGTGCCTGCTGCACATAGCTTTTCTTTCTTTTTTTTTTTTTTTTTAAGACAGAGTCTCACTCTGTCGCCCAGGATAGAGTTCAACCTCCACCTCCCGAGTTCAAGCGATTCTCCTACTTCAGCCTCCTAAGTAGCTGGGATTACAGGTGCCCGCCACCACGCCTGGCTAATTTATTTATTTATTTATTTTTTGAGATGGAGTCTCGCTCTTGTTGCCCAGGCTGGAGTGCAGTGGTGCGATCTCGGCTCACCACAACCTCTTCCTCCTGGGTTCAAGAGATTCTTCTGCCTCAGTCTCCCAAGTAGCTGAGATTTCAGGTGCCTGCCACCACATCCAGCTAATTTTTGTATTTTAAGTAGAGATGCGGTTTCACCATATTGGTCAGGCTGGTCTCAAACTCCAGACCTCAGGTGATCCACCCGCCTCGACCTTCCAAAGTGCTGGGATTACAGGAGTGAGCCACTACACCCGGACTTCATGCCCGGCTAATTTTTGTATTTTTAGTGGAGATGGGGTTTCACCATGTTCGCCAGTCTGGTCTTGAACTCCTGACCTCAAGTTGTCCACCCGCCTCGGCCTCCCAAAGTGCTGGGATTACAGGCTTGAGCCACCGCGCCTGGCCCAAGGTAGCTTATGATATTAACAGGTTACAGATTGTAGTTATTTCTAAGCTGCACAAGGAGTGAGAAAGTAATGTTCAGAGGCTTAGGAGGTGAAGGTGCTTCCTGGCAGGCTTGGGGTTTGAATTTTGACCAGACAGTCACTTTTCTTGACTCTCCTGCCCTACGCTGGCCTATGTGACTTACCAGGATATCCGTGCTGTCGGCAACTTTAAGGAGCAGACAGTGATTGCCGTCAAGGCCCCTCCGCAGACGAGACTGGAAGTGCCCGACAGGACTGAGGTGAGAGGCGAAATATTTGGTGGAGAGCAGGGTTGAGACCCTGCTAGGGAGGGTTCCAGGCAGCTCTGCAGACTGTCCCGGGCACTGCCTAGCCCCATGCTTCCCAGGCCCATTCTGGTGTCCATGGCAATATTGGTGGCCTTCAAGCTTGAGCAGAAATGGCAGAGGCTGGAAAGGGCAACCGAGACTGAGCAGTGGCCTGAGAAAATCTCTGTTCCTAGTTTCTTCTGCATCCCACCGGCCCTGGGTTCCTGCACACATGCACACTCGTGCCCACGTATGACGGTGTCAGTACTCATGAAAATCCCTTCATGCTGACTGTGCTTTCCCAAGTTAAAGACCAAAATTCCTGACGCTCCCTATGAGGCTTCGGTGCTCTGACCCCAGCTGGCCTCGTCCTTTTCCCTGCTGCCCCATCTGTCTTTGTTTTGGCCACACTGACCTGTCTGCAGTTACCCCATTGCACTAAGTTCATTCCTAGTATGAGATCTTCTGTTTTATTTTATTTTATTTTAATTATTTATTTATTTACTTATTTATTTTTGAGACGGAGTCTCATTCTGTCACCCAGGCTGGAGTGCAATGGCCTGATCTCGGCTCACCGCAACCTCCGCTTTCCAGGTTCAAGCGATTCTCCTGCCTCAGCCTCCCAAGTAGCTGGGATTACAGGCGCCTGCCACTATGCCGGGCTAAGTTTTGTACTTTTTTTAGTAGAGATGGGATTT